AGCCCGGGGGCAAAGATATTTTATTTAGCCTGTCAGAGGTGTGGACTAAAGGGGGAATCTTAATAAAAACTAAAGACAAAATAAAATATATTTTAAAATTTTTAAATATTTCAACAATTAACTAAAGCTTTATATTTAATTATTTTTAAATTTGTTTATTCACTATCTCAAACATAGTGATTATATAAGAAGTTATATATTAAGCAATGGTTCTTTTGAGAGAAATAAATTAATAATAAATATTTAAAGAAAAATGTAAGTATGATTTTTTATAAAAACCTTGCTCAGGCATTGCATTAGCTCCCTCCTTAACTTCTCGTGATATTGCCCAAGAGAACACATGCTTCATAACACTTTAAATCCCCGTTTTCGAGGACTGCGACGATCGCGTGAACAAGTTAATGCCAGGCAATAATTTTTTTATTGCCAGCCAATGCCAAAAACATTTCGCATCGAGTGTAAGTACATATTGAAATAATGTTATTCCTCTTTATGCGGGAGTGTGGGTGTCTGTCTGATAAGCAGCCAAAGTCCTTGTTATTGTAGCCGTTAAATCCACACCCTCACACACACACACACTCACGCACATGTACATTTCACCGCCCCCTCTAAATGGATGGGGGCGTGGCATGTTTGCCAAACTCTCGATATTTATGCCCTTGGTATCGCTTTAGTATCGGTTTAATCAGACTCTTTGATTTTACAACACCATTATGCACTTTTAGTGTGATTGATTGAGGGGCCTGGAAAATGGGAAATGCATTGCTATTCGGTCGAAATGCGGATTGCGAATTCAAATTCGATTGGAGAATAAAACAAAGTAAATAAAAGGTTAACGAGTAGCAATAAAGCCCAATGGCAAACGGCATTCCGAAAAATAGAGGAATTTAATTATATTTGCTGTTTTATTTAAGAGAAATATCTGTTGGAATATGCAATAACCGAAGTTAGTTATCAATTTTCATTTTCAAATTCAGTTTTAAATCTCCTCGAAGCCATAAATATTAAGCCACTTAAATGCACTCTCACGTTTGCTTGCCAAACTTTTATATTGATAAACAGTTTTGATATTGAGCAAATATAAAATTGGGCAAAAATGGAATTTTTAAGTTATCAAATTCTTAAACAAATACGTTTTGTTACCTCATGTCTAAAACGAGCGAAAAATTGGTTTGCACTTAACCATTCGCAGTTCTGTGCCAGAGCCACAACAATTTCAATTGCTGCCGTGTGGTGGCGGCAGAAAACTTACTGCGGTGAGTGTTTCAAATTTTTGCAAATTTAAACTAAATACAAGCAGAAAACTTTCTGACCAACACTTTTAGTCTGAAAACTTTCCAGCAGTTATCAGTTGCTGTCCGGCTTACATTGTTCTCAATCGAAGTCACAAGAACTTTTTGCAACCATTTGCCATTAGCAGACATGCAGCTGGCTGCACTGAGAAAAATCAGTTGGAGAAATTAGCTTCTAAAAAATGATTGCTTCAGTACTCAGTACTAAATTATCCTTGGTTGGGGGTGCCAAACAAGTCTCTAGCCTTTTGAATCTAATAATAATGGTGTGTAAAAGTATGCTACAATTAATATTCATTCGAAATTCGAAAGACGAAATAAATCAGTGATTTCTAACACAATTGTTTTAAAATTCAGACTAAAACGTTTTTTCTTTATTTTTATTTTAATAAACAACATGATAGCATAACTATTTAAAATAAAACGTTTTTATGACATTTTCTTGTTCTAAGGGTAAATTAAAGATAGGCTTTAAACGGCTTGTTTCCATCCGTTTTCTCATTGTAAAAACAACTCTTGTCATACCGTTCTCTTATCATATGTACTCAGTATTACAACAAAATATAGAAATTCCCTGTTAATTTTTTGTTAGTGTGGCCACATACAGAAAAAAATCAAGTTGTTAAATAAAGTTTCTCACTTGCTTACAGAACGAGTCTTGGAGTCCGGCGCAGACTGTTCTAAATGCGGAGCAGTGAACCTCATGCATAATGCAGATAGGCGGACATGCAACTATCTCGGTGAGGAGATTGGAGTCGGTCTCAGCTTGCAGAGATACCTATTTGAGATATGCCGGGCATTCTTCGTTGATTCATTCATTCATTCATTCATTCATTCATTCATTCGTTGAGACCCATTCTGCCACTCTATGGCCCAGTGGTCCTGGCCACAGGAGCTGCGCTTATTTACTGTCCAGCCAGCCTCTCAGTCTCCCAGGCAGGCAGGGTAATTAGGCAGAGTCGTGGGGTTTGTGCTCTGCTAACGACCCGCCTGAATAATTCATTAGCCGGAGGTCCTTCGCCACTCACACATCCTGGTCTCGTTGGGCATCTGGGCATCTGGGCATCTGGCTGTGTCGGTGCTTTCGAAAACCCACCGCAAACATAACCCAAATGCAAACAAGCACATCCTCTGGCTAGTTGATATTTCACTGAGTGCATACGTTGTGCCAGATTGAGGAAAGCCACTAAAATGTACACACATATTATAGTGCTTTAGGCGCCATGTGATATCTCATCCATTTACTATATTTTCTCACTTTATTAACTCTCAAGGATAGCTATTTTTCAGAGATTTGGTCGAGTGTTGCAAACTGCATTAATAATACATTAGCAAATATCTTTTTGCTTGCGAATTTGTTTTTCACTCTTAAAAACTATTAGAAGATTGCATGTGAGTGGCAAAAAAAAAACCTGCGTCAAACTACAGAAATGTTGTATAAATAAAAAAAAAAAAATATTTCATTCAATTTCTAAAATGAAAACAAATTATAATCTTGAGCGGAATTCTTGTTGTTTTAAACAATTTCAAATTACTTGCTGCCGTCAACTCTTCGCTTTAATCGCACTAAAAGTATTTATAAACTTTATGGCCCCTTTCGTTGGCTAGACATCTGTATAACATTGGATCCAAAGACTATAAATTAGCATTGGGTCCAATTTAGTTGGTAATTTGTGTACATATATTAGGAACGTATATTTATGTTAGTGCACCTGACCACTTTTGGCAGAGAAACTTAAGGCGGAGACGTTAAAGGGTCGCTTTATTGTCGGCACGTTTTTCATATTTCTGCAATCCATTACCAAGTCCTGGCCATCAGTCACGGACTCACAGCCTCCGGCGGACTTCAAAAGTTCTTCTGCTGGCCATTTGAATAAGAAACTTTATGCGTAACGATTTCTGCTGCTTTCTAAGAAGCTTATGTCGAAGTAGAAATGCTCTTGAAAATTATTTGTGTATGTTTCCTCAATGGGAACGAAACTCAAGACCAAGTTAAATGTATATAAAATTCCTAGGAAAATTTGTGCAGCATGAAGCTTTAGATATTTTTTATGGGATTTATGATACAAGATTCATTGTAACGGATTATGTTTCGTTTTGATTGATTCTTACTAAACTGATGCCATTAAAAATATATATATATATTTTTTTTTTAAAGAGCAAAGTTTTGTATTTATATTTGTTTCTATTTCTGCGCTTTACAAATACCTTTAAAATTGGGAAATTGTGCTGAATCCTTAACATTCTTCGTTGTTGTTTTTCATTTGCTTAAAATGCAATTATGGTGTACATTTTCCCATAAATTTCAATAGAGTATCAAACTGTCAGAAATTTCGCCCTGCTAACCAGTCGTTCCCCTTCAGAAATATTCTAAATATATACTTTTTATTACCTCCTCGAGGAGCGAAACTTCTGGAGGTTGAGATTTGTGCGCTGACAGGAAGCAACTTTTGGCTGACTCATGGCAGTTGATTTACTGCTCAACGGGGTACGAGTAATGCTATGCAGGTAAGTGTTTTTCCCAGACTGCAGCTCGACAAACGAAATTTGGCCCGAACACTGGCAAAACTGGAAAATCCTGCTGCCAGATGCTGGCCTTTGTGGCCGGGGGACGAATGTGGGAAATGCTGCAAGTTCGCCCTGCTTTTACTGCAAATTTTATAAAACCCATGCAGGCTTGCTCCGATTTCGCTCCCACTAATGGGCTGCTCTTTGTCCGGGAAGAAAAAGCATGGATGATTCCTTCATCAAAATTCTCTGTGATTCGGTAAGCAATTTTCGTTCCGGCACAATCGCAATCAAGCCATGAGCTGGCAATCCACTCGACTCTCTTCTTGTGACTAAAAGGATATGGAATTTGGGCGGATTCTTTTGTGATAGGGATCGATGTAGCTGCTGCTCCTGCTGCTGCTGTTGGCTTGATATGAGCAAACTTTCAGTTAACTTCGAACGAATGTTTTAAACTTATAACTCAAATTGGTCAAAAAATGAACTTTTTGGCTGTTTTGACTCGGTCCATAATTATAAAAATAAATTGGATTGTAGTTTTTTAAACTTGTAGATAAGTAACTTGCAAATTTTAATCTACCTACTGATTTAAATAAAGTAAAATTATTAAACCATCACAGCATTTGCTAAAATAGGTAGCTTATTCAATTTACGAAATGGTATTAAAACTATATTATTTCTATGGTCTTGCCTTTGCCTTTTTATGTAAAAACGCAAAATACTAAACTTCTGAAAAATAAATATTTTGTTTTAAGTGGTTCACCCTAGGCTATTTGCCGAATGATTTCACTAAATAATATTTCTGTGCAAATTTCACCAAAAATTACTATATAAGTAATAACATGGCATACGTTCATTGTTATTGTTTTAGAGTTTTACCTTTAGGCGAAAATTGGCCAAAGACATCTTTGAATGCCAATCGATGGGACTTTTTAAACGAGTTTAACAAGATACAAAATATCCTATTAAATAAAAGATATGACCGAAACACTGATTTTTTGTTTGGTCGAAGAGGTTGAGATTTGGATTAATATTTTAATAATTTTCTAGACAAATTGAAAATTGGATGTTTTATTTTGTTAACTAACAATGCCTTGAGTGTTACCCTCATAGAAATGATTATGTTGTGTCCATCCAATTTGTGTGAATCATGAGACTTTGGAACTCCCATTAAACCAAATACTCCCCGCAGTTACTCACCCTGTCTCAGTTGAACCGCCGCCCGAGCTGCCCTCCGCCTGCGCCGGTTGCCTCGCCCAGCTCGACCATCACGTCGGAGGCCTGGCAGTGGCTCGTGCTGGTCTCCAGGATGCTGATCCCGGTGGTGTTGTCCGTACTGACGAAGGGCGTCTCGCTGAAGCGCACCTCCACGGTCTGCTCGTCGCCGGAGTCCAGGTAGTCGCCGTCCGTCTCGTCCGTGCGCCGGCGTATCCTTCGCGTCAGCTCCAAGTTCTGGTGGTGCGACGGCTGCAGCTGGAGCTGGTGCATCTGATGGTCGCCGCCGTGGACCAGGGCGGCATTGATGCCCCGCCCACTGAGGATGGGCGAGACGGCGCCAGTGCCATTGCCATATGTGGGCTCGCGCGGGATGATCAGCAGCTTCTCCTTGGGCAGACACGTCTCCTGGGTGATGCCGTTCTCGTCCTGGTCGTCGGCATCCAGGCCTCCATCCCCTTTGCCGTGGTGCAGGCGCGGACCGCAGGTGTTGCGATCACTGCGGTTGTAGCCCCTGGTGATGTTGATCAGGTTGTTGTTCGAGGGATTGAAACAGGGCAGCACGTGCTTGAACTCCTTGCGGAAGTTCTCGTTCAGCCAGGCGTAGAGGAAGGGATTGTAGCAGGTGGAGCTCATGGCTATCGAGTGGGCCACAAAGAAGAACAGGATGTAGAAGCGCCACTCGATGGTGCGGTCGTTGAAGTCCTCGAATATGTTCACCACATTGATGGGCAGCCAGCTGAGTCCGAACACGCCCACCATGGCGATGAGCATGCGATTGGTGCGCTTCTTGCGGTCCCGGTCCGCCTCCTCCCGCCGCGACGACTTCGAGCCCGGCTTGGCCCTGGCCCGCTGGTTCAGCTTCACCGAGATCCACACATAGCAGATGGAGATGATGAAGAACGGCAGCACGAACTGCAGCGTGGTGGTGATGGCCCCGAACACCTTACGGTACTGCTCCGACGGCCAGTTCTCCTCGCAGTACACCCGCACGTAGGGCATCTGCGCCCCCGCTCCGCCCGCTGTCATCACCTGCATGTAGGCCTGGGCCGCCGACGTGGCGTCCGGCTCTTCCACGTACCCCGAGCTGCCGTTCAGCATGAGTGTGGCCTGCACCAGCGTCTCGTTGGCCAGTTGCGTGCCGTTGACCACCTCGTTGGTCATCTTCATGTACATGCCGTAGGGCACGGTGGCCAGCAGGGCTATCACCCAAATGCTCACAATGATCCCGATGCACGTGGAGAGTTTCATGCGCGGATGGAAGGGATAGATGATCACGAAGTACCTGTCGATGGCGATGGAGGTCAGCGTCAGTGTGGATATGTAGATGCTGCAGCCCTGGGCGAAGGACACCAGGTGGCACAGGCTGCGGCCGAAGGCCCAGCGGCCCATGAACGTGTAGAGCGGCGTGAAGGGCACCGCCAGCACGCACAGCAGGATGTCCGAGAGGGCCAGGTTCGTGATGAATATGTTCGTCACCGTCTGCATGGCCCGATTGCGCAGCACCACGTAGCAGACCAGCACGTTGCCAAAGACGCCCAGCACGAAGACGGTGGCGTACAGGACGTAGAAGAAGATCTGCACGAACTGGTTGCCGATGATCCCGCCGCTCCGGTCCTCCTCTGCCGCCGCCGCCGCAGCCGCCGCAGCTGCAGCAGCGGCCACATCCGCCAGGATGGTCGAGCTAGTGGTTCCCGGCGGAGTCAGGCTCCAGTTGGTCGGACTGGCCAGGGGAATCTGGGTGGTGGTGATGGTGATGGTGCTGTTCGTGCTGCTGCTGCTGCTGCTGCTGCTGGAAGTGCTCATCCAGCTCAAGTTGGCCATCTTTGTGGGCCCGGCTAATGGGTTGAGTGGCGGTTGTGTGCTCGACTGCCGGTGGTTCCGGTTCGGATGCGCACCACTTAAGCAGCCATTTCCGTCGTCGCCGGAACTGAGCTCCTTATTCGATGGCCTGGCCAAAAACCTCGTTCTCAGCCGCTCACAGAGCCGTCATTGCTAATTGACTGAGCCTTTGAGTTCTGAAAGCAAAAAGTAATAAAGGAGATTTAAGTTAAGATGTGGAATTGGGAAAAAGAAGACCAGTAAAAATGTAACTCAAGCTAAGAACATTGAAACTTTAATGAAAATGCACTATTTTCATTAATATAAATTAGTAAACCATTTAAAAAAATGCATTTACTTTAAATATTTAACAATAAAGTTTATTTTAATTAGTTAACAATTCAGTTTATTAAAATTATTTTATTTTTATTTATTTACAATATTTTGCAAGTATGGGATGAAACGTCTTCATTCGCATTAAGTCTATGGGAATTTCAGTTTTTTTATTCTATATTGCCTTCTTTTAGACACCTTTAAAAGTAATTAATTACTTAATTTAAAATATTTGTTTATAAAGTTCAGAACTTCCCGCCAAAAGTATGCAACTTATTTAAGTTACCTTACTATCTTTAGTTTAAGTGCAATTGCCAGAAAAAGCTAGCGTTGCATCGCTACACATTACAGATTTTTAGAGAAGTTCATTTAAAACGATTATTCTAAAAGCTTTATAGCCATGTAACATCATTGTAAAAATCGCCATAAAATGAACTACTAAAGCCCAACTTATTTCAAAGTTTTCAGCAGGGAACATATCTTAAACGGACTTAAAAACTAAGTTTTCTGCCGTACATCCACCCTTCGACCTTTCTTCCACCCCAAGAACTTGGTTTCACTTGTTCTGTTCTGCCTTTTGTTCGTCTGCTTTTTGGCCAAAAGGGATTAAGTTGTTGCCCCGACTGGCTTTTATTTTTAGTTGCTGTCAGAAGAGCTCCCAGCTTGGTTCCTATTATTAAAAACAATGCCAAAGTGACAGTTGCTGTCGCTAACTGGCCAAGTTTGATACTACTTTTATACTCTTCGGACATCTTTGAGCCGGCAATTTTCATTTCTGTGCACAGAAAATAATTTTAAATCAACAAACAGCCACAAAGCTTTTGTATTTAACACCTTTAGTTGTGCTATTTTGAGAACATAAAGCTCCAAAAGGAATTATACATCTTAGTGCCTAAGTAGAGCTGTTCCTTCTGAGAACTGAAAGCTTAGAGATGTGGAAACTGGTCAAGGCCAAATCGTGGTCAGAAGTAAACAGGGCTGGAATTTCTAAGGGTTTGGCAATTAGCCGCTGCAACCAATCGGAACAATCGTTAATTGCCTGATACAAGTAGGCCCAAACAACTGGTAAGCCCACCATTGTACCATCATTGAGGAGCCTGACCATGGGCGGCATTTAAACTCGTGTTTACAATAGGAAGTTCATGGAATTTTATTGCTTCCACCGAAGGCCAAAAGTTTTGGCAACTAACCAAGCAAACAGAAACCAACGATGCAAATATGCAGATAGATGATGGCTTCTGATCACGTACAGCAACTAAATGCAAATTTAATTGGATTTCGCCCAACAACAGTCCGGAAAAGTTTTGCCAAAAATGCAGGTGCATTTGAGAGCCCCCCGAATGCTGTTAGTTAATCCGTAGAATATTCGGGCCAAAGCCGGATAATGCAACGCCCCAGAATCACAGACTTTCGGGGGAGTTTGGGGAAACTTTACAAGGCAGCAAATTGAATTTCTGAGTTTAATGAACACATGTTTAATGAACACCCTGGGTCACAGCTAAGAAGCCTGTTATAGTCAACTGAAACCGGGGAAATACTTTGACAAGGCAAAATTTAATTACAACTCTAGAGCATTGTGTCATTAGAGGTAAGAAAAAGTTTCTACAATATCCTTCAGAGAGTTTGTAACAACTTGTTGAAAGAAAGTTTGCAAAACTAATAAAAAAAAAAAATTAATAAAATGGCATATATAATTTATGACACTTGCAATGCATTACTAGTAAATTGGTCAAATGAATTTAAAACAAATCATCAATCATTAAAAATTCATCACAAGGAAAAACCATACTAAAGTGACAACTTAATATGCTCTTGCTGGTTTATTATTTTTTTTCAATAATATAAAAGACAATTTATCAAAGAGAATGAAAACAGGAGAAATTGTTAAGAATTACTCAAGATATTAGCGAAAGTTATGCAATGCCCGGAGGTTCTGCAATCCGGTTAACAGGAAGAATGTCAAAAGAATTCAACGCCGCGGGTAATCATTTTGATAAATTAATAGAACGCTGGCCCAGGTTATGGCAACGGAAAAGAAGCCGCGAATGCCGGATATTGTGTAAGGAAAGTACAATAACGTGGGAAACAAGAAAAATTGCCAGTTAACAATTTTTTGTTTTGTCTTTCTTCTTATGAACGCATTTATCCAGGGCTGGGCTGGCTGGAGCCATAAACTCCATCAAAATCATTACCAGCAGCCGGCATTGAAAAGCCCCGAGTGTCGACGACATAATCATCGCCATCATCCGCATCATTCTGGCTCCTGGTTCTTGGTCCTTGGTTCCTGGTCCTTCGCCTGGCCCATTGTCCGTCCTTCTGCTGGGATCACGCGCCGCACTCCCATTATCATTACTAACAAGCAGCACAAAGCAGCTTGAGTGTGTCATCCTGCTGATGGCCAATCCTGCCCCGCCCTCAAAACTCCTGATCTGCGGCACTTCGTAATTTTAATTTTGATGCATTTGTCACCTTTTTTATCTTGCTTTTATGTCCTACACTAAGGACAAAAAGTACTTCTGAAGGTAAAGAAGTTCCATCTATATATTTGATCTATCACTTGGACATTTAAAAATGTAACCGACATTTGAGTTATAGAAAGTTTTAAACAAAATTATATGCAAAACCAAAATACAAGAAAATAATTGAATTTTTATGATTTAAATATTTAAAAAAGTAATTTTTCAACTGAAAACTAAAATACTAAAAATAAATGTTTGTGTTTTATAAAAATTCTAAATTAGTTCAGTAACCGAGTTTATTGTTCTATAAAGTTCAATGATTATTACCAATTAAATATATTAAGAAAACAAAGTTTAACTTAACAAGGACTGAACAGAAATGGTTTTATTTAAACATTTATTTATCCCAAAATTATTAATTTCAAAAATAGTTAAATGTACCAGAATGCTTATGTTGTATAAAATATTTCTATAACTAAAAAATTAAGAACAAAATATTTTACTCAAAATTGACCATTTTTGCTCAGTGTATGGGCTCCCTGTCGCTTCATCGTCTTTTGCGGTAACGATTTATCTTTGAGCCCGTGACGTAATGAAACAAGGCGATATGGCCGGGACGAGAACAAACGCTCACTTTAATGGGATTTTGTTTTGGCGCCGCAGTACCGAGGGCAAAAACGGCCACAACAAACTGTTCGACTCCTCCAATAAGTGCTAGTATATGGCCTACTTATAGTCGCTTGGGGAATTTTATGGCGACAAGGTGCAACAGCCATCCAGAGGGCAAAAACCATTAATGAATTTCCATCGCTTCGGGCTTAAAGATGCAGTTAAAGCGTATCTCAATGGACTGTCGAGGAAGTTTATGGGTGCGCAGGATAGTCAAACCCAGTGCTAAATAAAAAGGGAGGGAATAAAAAGGACAACAGCTCTCTTCTTTTATTCGCCCAAAGCCTTTTTGATTTCTCATTTATAGGCAGCTCAAAGACAGGCCAGGCAAAATTAAATAGAAAACAAATTGAATGTGTTAGAATATTTAATTTTTGCAATAGCTGCAAGGGTATGTTTGCTTCCTTTCTTGTAAACTATGCTTTAATTATAAGCAAAATTGTTCATCATTAAATAATGGAATTTTTATTACCAAAGTTAGTCTTTATACTTTAAATAAGGAACCGTGAACGGAAATCATTCAAAATCCATTTGCTTAATCACTTGCAAACGCCAATCCAGATACACTTATTTGAATATCAATCGTATGACATAAGAGCAACAATCAGATTGTGTTGAAAACAATAGATATATCATAATGTCTAAACCAAAGAGAAGTTATACTGACTATTCAATTAATTTTATTCATTTTGATTCTATCAGACATTTGTGTATATTTTCTCCAGCGTGGTAGTCAAAAGTAAAGTTGTTCAAGCTCTTTTGCGTGCCGGCTTTAGTTGGCATCAACTACTTTTTGGCATTTTTGGTCTGGAGAAACTTCCGGGAAACCTCGAATACCTGCCGCTCCGGCCAACAGATGGAAACTATGCGCTTAGCAGGGCACGAGATTTTCCTCCGCTAATGATTTGGTCGCATTGGCCAGTGATCAATGCCGCAGAGCGCCTTGAAGCAGCTTTTTCCTCTAATTAACATGGCTATTTTTATGATAATCAATTACAAAGTTCGCGCACAACTTTGACGTTAGTTTTGCTTCAAAAAAAAACTGCGAAGAAGAGAAAGTTTTGTCCGCCGTCAAGGAAATTACTCAGCAGATTAGAGATCCAGACAGATGAACGGACCCAATCCGTTGAGGCCGCGATGGGAACATGTGTTCAGTGTCTGTGTCAGTGTCAGTGTCAGTGTCAGTGTCATGGATCGATTGATGACGCGGAATTTAATTAAAATTGTGCTCGAATTTGTTCAATTTTGTTTTTTCTATTCTGCCCTTGCCATTCGCTGGCACTTTAAATTTTTGCCGCACTCGTAAGCAGCCACTTTGCATATCGCTGAAATGTCGGGCTGAGAATAATTCATACGCATATGACTCTTAGGCAAAAATATAAATTCATTCGAATAAGCGCTGCGGCGTACTAATTTATTTGTTTGATTTATATGCCCGGCAACTAATTAGAGAGTTATTTCCATTTGGGCTCACATTGCACTCGAATCGAGGGCAAGTCGTTCACTCAGTGACTCACTCAAAGCGAGTGCTTGCCACATTTACGATAGACACATAAATGCCGAATATATATTTGCACAAACCGATTCGCATATATCAAAATCCAAATATATCTGCATCAAAATAATAGTCATAAATGGGCGAAAAATAAAAGAGAACTTCATTCAGCGGGGAAACTTAAATACTCTTTGTCTGGTGATTTATTATGATGCCTGCTGAATTTTGATTTGTATAAGCA